ACTGACCATCTCTGGGCCTGTTTTCTTACTGAAACACGGCAGTAGGTAATAGTTGCTGCCTCTCTGGGTGGTGAAAGTGAAAGTGCTAGTCGCTCAGTTGTGTTGACTCTGCAACTCCATGGACTGTAGCCCACCAGGCTCCTCTGTCCGTGGGGTTCTCCAGGCAAGAGTATTGGAATGGGTTGCCATGCTCTCCTCCAGGGGATCTTCCCAACCCACGGATCGAACCTGGGTCTCCTGCACTGCAGGCAGATTCTTTACCATCTGAGCCACCAGGATGGTCTCCCTGGGTGGTGGAGAGAATTAAACCAGATGTGGGGCAGGCTCAGCATCGGGTACGCAATACGTGTCCACTGTTACTATCATCTGTTGTTATGATTGCTTCCCAGGTTCATCCAAGAGGGGGTGGGGACCCCTCCCCTCTCGATCCTTCTGCCCCCTTCCTGGGCACGCTGGGCAGCCCCTTGAGCAGCTGTGAGCTTCCCAAGCGGGCCCCTGCCCACAGTGCCGTTCCAGGAGGTTGGCACCGAACAAGGCGGGAACAGGAGGCGGGAACGGGAGGCCAGCCCACGGCGGCGTCAGCAGATGGGCACCATCTGGGCTGGCGGCTCGGGGCGGGCTGGCAGCTGCCGGAGCGGGCGGGCCTGGCAGCCCCTCCCCCACCCGCCCTGGCACGGTGCCCGCCCGCCTCAGGTTTCTCAGGCCGCCAGAGGGGGCGGGGAGGCCTGGCTGGGCTCTGGGGCTGGGCAGACAGCTTCTCTCTCTGGGCCCTGCTTCCTCCGGGCTCCTTCCCAAACGAGAGGCTGGGGAGGAGGCCCGGCCTTCCCACCGCCAGGCAGCGGTCCTCAGCTCCACCTTCCAGCACTTGTGCTTGGGACCATTCCAGCCCCAGGGCCTTTGCACCGGCTATGCCCCCAAAATGGCCTGGCACACTCTCACTCAAATCTCTCTGTGGCCCAGCCAGAGGACCCACCATGCCTCTCCACACCCCTCCCTGTCCTTAGCTTTTTAATTTAACTGAGAATTGTCAGCTTCCCCATCTGGTCAATAGCACACCCACCCACAAAGGGCATGCAAGGAGCAGGCAGCCCAATGTCCCAAGGCAGAGCTCATATCACTTCTCAGCAGGGTCCCCCAGCTGTTCCCTAGGCCACCCTCAGGGCACACACAGAGTCCACTCCTGGAATCAGGGCCCCATGTCTGCAACGATGCCAGATGGATGCCCGAGGCAGCCAAGTTTGGCCCAAGGTGGTGCCCTGGGCTCTGAGGAGCCTGGCAGCCCCAGCGCCAAAGGGATCTTCTCCCAGCTCGTCCCCACTCTTCTATTCTCCAAAATAAACCTGGGGAGGGAGGCCTGGGATTCCTCCTTGGGGTGGGGCCCCAGCAATCCTCCTGACAGCCCCAGGGAGAAACAGAGGCTGTGGGGGTGGGGGGAGCTGAGCCTCATGCCAGGGTCTGGGGACAGGGGATGGCCGAGTATGTGGGTGTTCGCGTGTCTCTCCCTGTCTTTGGGTCCCTCTGTGTTTCCAGGTCTTGCTCACTGTCATTCTGTTGCCCCGAGGCCCCGCATCTGACACCTGAGGCGGCACCTCCTTCCAGCTGAATGGCAGATGCCCATCTCAGCATCCTGCCTGTGATCTGTCCCAGAAGTCAAGCAAGGCCCGCTTTCCCCACGCCCCATCAGCCCTATGGCCGCCCAGCAGGGCTGCTTTGAGTGGCCACTGCGCTTTCTCGGCCTGGATGCCCTGCAGCCCTGAGACCCACAAGGGGAGAGGAGAGAAGAGGTGGCCAGTTCTCTCTGCCATCAGATGATTGCTTGGCTAAGAATAGAGACATAACTCTGGCCCAGATGGTGATGGGGGTCTTGTGATGGAAGTCAGGGAGCTGGGTCTCAGCAGGGAGTTTTGGGTAGCAGCCTCAGCTTGGGAATCCTGGAGGAAGCTCTGGTTAATAGGAGCCTAGAACACAGACCCAGCCCAGAGGTGGCCAAGCCACATAGACTGGACACCCACATCCTACACTGCAATTTACCTCCATCCCCTTCTGCCACCAAGCATGGAAGGCTAGCAGGGGTGCCAGCAACAGAGGCTGTGCTGTGCTTAGTCGCTCAGTCGTGTCTGGCTCTTTGTGACCCCATGGACTGTACCCCACCAGGCTCCTCTGTCCATGGGAATTCTCCAGGCAAGCATACTGGAGTGGGTTGCCATGCCCTCCTCCAGGGGATCTTCCCAGCCCAGGGATTGAACCTGGGTCTCTAGCATTGCTGGCAAATTCTTTACCAGCTGAGCTACCCGGGAAGCCCCAGCAACAGAAGTTGCCCATGTTCAAACCCTAATTCTGCCCTTTTCTAGCTGTGACCTTGGGCAAGGCAGGTAACTTCTTCCAGGGTACTTTTTAGTTTCCTTCTTTTGAGGCTTCCGTTTCCTCATCTGTACAATGGATACGATTCCTGCCTCACAGGGTTGCCATGAGAATAGAAAATAATTGCTAAGTTCTCAGAAAAACTGCTTGACAGAAAGAAAGTGGCACTGGGAATTGGGGTTTTGAAGCATAAGTAGGAGTTTTCCAGATAGGAATGACATCCGCAGCAGAGGGAACCATATGGGCAAAGGCACGGAGGTGGGAAATTATAACCCTAATAAGGATGATAATAATAATGGTCCAAGAAAAAAAATAAATAACGGTCCACAAAGTCCTATCCCTGTGCTGGGTACTTCTCTTCATGACCCCACAGGGTTTATCTGTCAAACACTTTATCATAAGAATCCAACATTCCTATAGCTATTTTTTATTGTCTTATTTTAAAGACAAGGAAAGCAGACAGAGAGATTCAGTGACTAGTTTAGGGTAACCCAGGCAGGCAGGCAGGAGGCTGAGCTGGGGTTGGGCTCCCCGCCCAGCCCTTGAACCCGACCCTCACTCCCAGCTGGGTCAGCTGGAGTGGATTTGAGTGGCGGTCACCTGGGATGATGGTGCTGGCTCGAAGCAGGAGAGGGTGCAGCCTTGACCTTCTCCAGCCCTCATGCGAGGAAGTTGACCAGATCGGCTAGCAGAAGCATGGCCAACGGACACGAAGGTGTCTGTGGAGGCCTGGAGGCCCCGCCTGCCTGCTCAGCTAAGGGGGGAGGGGGTCGATGGGGGAGGGGAGGCGCCCGGAGATTGTGCTGACGCCGGCAGAAAACTTGCTTCAAAATTTTATCAGCTCAGCGCGGAGGAGGTGGGGGTGGGGCCGGGCGCGGAGGATGGATGTGGTGGGAGAGACCGGGACCTGCATGGTAATGAACGCTGCAGCCCCCAAGGCCGCCTGTGCCCTCCCCTCCCCCGCATCCCGAGGGCTGCAGACTCTCACCTTGTCTACCCCTCTGTTTCTGGCCCCATCGAATTCCGGTGGGGGTGAGGGATGGGGCAGACGGGGTCAAGGTCAAGGAATCAAGGTCAAGACTGGGAACTCTGGACTGGCTGTCCCTCCCACACACCATGGTGACCAGGAGACCTCATGGAAGGCTCACAGCACCGCTAGGAGTCGGCGTGGTTGTTCCTCCCACTGTACAGAGGAGGAAACTGAGGCACAGGACAGGGCTAGGTCCAGTCACACAGCCAGCACACAACACACAGCGGGGCTGCGGTCAGAAGCTGGGCGGTCCTGCCTGGAGTCCCCACTTCTTCTCACTGCCCCTCCCCCACTCCTCCCAAGCCCTCCCCAGTCATTTCTGGTTGTGTGATCAAGTGGATGCCTGTGGGGCTACCGGTGGTGGGACTGGGTCTTCAAGCCGAGTGCACCCACCTGACATGCTCAGGCAGCCCGGGTGTGTGCAGGTTCACGCCCACAAGGCTCAGCCTGGGTGGGAACAGGGCACAGGACTTGTGCCAGTTAGGTTCCCCAGGCACACCTGATTCCATCCGCATGAAGACAGTCATAGCTGCCACCCGCCACACAGCAGACCAGAGTTCAACACGCGACACACCATCTCTGAGAATCTCCCCAGGCCCAATCCAGGAAAGAACTTGGATAACCTCCATGTGACAGCTCCACTGGCCACATCACCAGGAAGCAGTGGGTCAGTGAAGCCCACTGCCCGCGCAACCAGGCCCTGCCCACGACCACCAGGACCTGTTGACATGCAGGACTGGGCCACCCGTCCAGCCTCTGCACCTCTGCCCAGGCTGCTGACCCCCTGGGAGAGCCCCACACTCATCACTGCCCCGTCTTCCTGCAGAACTCAGCACAGGGGAGCCTCCTTTTCCAGGAAGCTGTCCTGGATTTCTCCATCCTCACAAACCCCACTGGTCTCCACGTGGACCATTTGACCACAGAGCCAGCAAACACCAGAAACACCCAGCTAGAAGGGTGGGAGTAGGGAACCCTGATGACCAGAGAGATTGATGACATAGCTCAAGTCACACAGTGCCCCAGCTTTCTGCTTGGCATCAACATGACACCGGTCAGGACTCTGGGGAAGGTCTGAGAGTTGATCAACCAGCATTCACAATGTGCTACCCAGCACCCTTCCAGCTTTCCGGGGAAGATAAGGCTGTCCCTCACCCACCTGTCAGTGGCCCATCCTCACCCCTGCTGCCAACAGACCTTCTGGGACAGTATCTCATTTCCTGTGACCTGCCACCCCCTTGGACATCAAATTCCGATGTCCTCCCTTCACACCCCCATGACACACCTGCTCCCTACCCCACTCTTCCCGTGAACCGGATCTCTTTCGCTTACACTTCACATGGCATGTGCCTACTCACTCTGACTTTCCCGGCACCGGCCTCCTCCCTTTGACTTGAAGAAGGCCCGCCTCCTTGCTCAAACCTTGCGAGACATGCCTCTCTCCTTGGACCTCTCATAGGTCAGCCTCCTCCATCCCCACCAACCCCGCGCAGGCCACGTGGACCTGCCTTCTTGCTCAGACCTGCAGGCCTGGCTCAGGACCCTGCTACAGGCAGGCGCATCCCCAGCCCTCTCCACCTCCAGCCCCGTGCATGCGCACGCCCTTACTCACCTCGCTCCCGCACGAAGTAGGCCAGGTAGAGGTCGAGTTCCTTGACCGCCACGCCAATGTGGTGCGGCTGCACGCAGAGCACCGGGTGGCCGCACTGCGCCGCCTTGACCAGGCGCTCGCCGTCGGTACTCTCCAGGGGGATGCCCTTGAAGAGGATGACCATGACCAGGTCCAGCCGCCACACCTTGTCGGCCTGGCGCAGGCAGTCGATGCGGCGCATCTTGCCCTTCTGGTCGGGGTTGGAGAGCACACAGCCCGGCGCCTTCTTGCCGGTGATGGCCAGCACGAAGTCCTCGCGGCACTCCGGCCGGATGTCCTTGCGCAGCTTGGCCAGCAGCCGCGATGCCCACTTCTGCTTGACTTCGGCCTTCTCGCCCAGCAGCTCGTCCTTCACCGCCCGCTCCTCATCCTTCGACATCCGTTTCTCATGCTTCTTGAAGTACTTGCGCTTCCGCGCCTGCAGATTGAACCAGGTGTAGGCGAAGGCGCGGACGTGAGGCAGCAGCGCCTCAATGAAAGGGTGGAACTCATCCTGCGGGGCGGGAGAGGCCAGAGATCAGGAGGTGCTGGGGCCCGTGGACCCACTGCCCGGCCCGGAAGACTGAGGCTGCAGGGGCCCCAGGCAAACCCATTGGAGAGACAGTGGAACAGAGGTGTGCAGGGGTCCTCTGCAGATACCTCCAAACTTCCAAAGAAAAAACAGGGCCAGAGGGGACCCAGCAGAAGTTCACTGGATCGTCTGAGAACCCATTGCCCAGATGGGGAAACTGAGGCTCTGACCACGGTGGAAGGCACAGGCCAAGGAAGCCAGTCATGAAGGGCTGTCTTGAACTCCAATGTACAGGCAGGAGAAGCTGAGGGTCCCAGGTGGAAGTTGATGGGGACCCACTGAACAGATGGGGAAAACTGAGGTTGGTAGAATAGTGGTGGCATGGATCTATTCTGTGCCTTCTAGAACTGGGGTCAGCAAACTTTAAAAAGTGCAAGATGCCACAGAGGAGATGTGACTGGCATGGCAGTGTTTCAGTAAAACTTTATTTATGAACACAGACAGTGGGCCTTGGGCCCTGGGACTGTACTTTGCAAAGCAGTGAACTAGAGCATGAGCTCAAATGTCCAAAGCAGGGCTGAGCACACACTGGACACTGACAATTCAGGAGCAAACAGGCTCACAGTGTCACTTGTCTGCCAGATCCACTGCTTGGCAGAAGAAGCTGACGTGAGACAGAGGTTCAAGGGCTGCCTCTACTGGCTCTTGGCAGTGATGAAAAAAGTGAGGACAAGATATCTTTTCTATAGCCCAGAGATACAGACAGAACCAGCTGAGGTCCACAGGCCAAGAGGTTCACAGGTCCACTGGGGTCTACTGTATGTCAGGGGCTAATGGAAGCGTGGTGGGGGGGTGGGGCGGTTCCTATATAGACCCATTGCAGGGGCAGGGAAAGCTGAGGCTCAAGGAGGCAAGATCAGAATGCAGCAGAGAAAGGGGAGCTCAGTCATGGTGGTTCAGAGCTGGAGAGAAGGGTTGCCGGGGGTCAGTTCGCCCTAGCCTGCCCCGCAGAGACCCATTCTACAGATGGAAAAACTGAGGCCCAAGGAGGGCCAGAGACCTGCCCAGAGCTGTGACTTCAGCACCCCTCTCCCACTGCCTGAGTGGGGCTTCCGAGCAGCCGCAACACCCATTTTACGGATGAAGAAACTGAGACCCCAAGAAGGGACTCA